TATATATGATATATACATTTTAATATGTTGTATTTCATATTCATTTAACTCAAAATATTTGTAAATTTCTTGAGACTTCTTTTTTGATCCATGCATTATTTAAAAGTATGTTGCTTAATCTCCAAATATGTTGAGATTTTCCAGCTATCTTTCTGTTACTGATTTCCACTGTGGTCTAAGAGCAAACCTTGTTTGATTTCCATTCTTTCAGATTTGTTCAGGTGTGTTTTATGGCCCAGAATGTGGTCTGTTTTGATGAATGCTCCACATGAGCTTTCTAAGAATGTCTATTCTGCTGCTGTCAAGTATTCCATAAATGTCCATTAGATCTAATTGATCTTTGGTGCTATTCAGTTCAGCTCTATCCTTACTGATTTTCTGCCTGCTGGATCTGTGAATCACTGATTGAGAGGTGTTGGTAATAGTGAATTCATTCATTGCTGCCACTTCCTTCACTTACCCATATGCTATAATCACCCAGTTTGTTGTTGTTATCATTACTTTGACCTAAGAGTTATCTATAAGATTAGGTAGGTGTACAAACAACAAAGTTTTTTTTGTGTTTTTTTTTTTTTAAATTAGGCTCCATGCCCAACATGGGGCTTAAACTCAGGACCCTGAGATCAAGAGTCACATGCTCTATTGACTGAGCCAGCCAGGCACCCCCAAACAACAAAGATTTTATTTTACCTTCATTTATATAAATCTGAGTTTCCAACCTATTATCATTTTACTTCTCTGTGAAGAACTTCTTTTAATATTTCTTGCAAAGCAGGTCTACTGGCCACAAATTCCTTCAGTTTTTGTTTGTCTAAGACTATTTCTCCTACACTTTTGAATGATAATTTTGCTGGATACAGAATTCTAGGCTGGTGTTTTTCTTTCAACACTTTAAATATTTCACTCCACTCTCTTCTTGCTTGCATGGTTTCTAATGAGAAGTCTCATGTAATTCTCATCCTTGTTCCTCAATAGGTAAGGTGCGTTTTGTTCCCTTTTGGCTTCTTTCAAGATTTTCTCTTTGTCTTTGTTTTCCTGCAATTTGACTTTTCTTTCTTTTTTTTTTTTAAGTTTATTTACTTTATTTAGTAATCTCTACACCCAACATGGAGCTTCAACTCACGACCCTGAGACCAAAAGTTGCATGCTCTTCTGACTGAGCCAGCCAGGCATCCTTATTTTCCTGTAAATTTGAATATGATATGCTTAGGTGTAGATTTTTGGTATTTGCTCTGCTTGGTGTTTTCTGAGCTTCCTGAATTTGTGGTCTGGTGTCTATCATTAATTTTGGAAAATTGCCATTACCATTACTTCTGCTTTCTCTTTCTTCTTCTAGTTTTCCTGTCTTGTGTACATTACACTTTCTTTTTTTAATATATATTATTTTTTAAAAGATTTTATTTATCTATTTGAGAGAAAGAGAGCACAAGCAGGGAGAGCTCTCTGGCTTCTCTGGCTTTTTAAGCCCAGGGAGAGGAGCCCACATGGACGTAAGGGTCTCATTCCAGAATTCCAGGAGTTAGCAATGCCTTTCTGGTTTTGGGGTATGGTCTGCCCAAAAGCTACCCAGTCAATGGCTTTTATGTCTTTTGCCAAATTTGGGAAGCTTTCAGCTATTATTTAAGTATATTTTCTGCACTGCACTCCTTCTCTTCTTCTTGTGGGATTCCAGTGACATACTTCTATTTTGGTATTTTCCCATAGACCCCTGAAGTTCTGTTCATTTTGTTCATTTGTTGTTTCTTTGTTCAGGTTGTAGAATTTTTAGTGGTTTATCTTCAAGGTCACTGCTTTTCCTCTGTCATCTCTGATGGGCCACAGTACCCACCCAGTAAGTTTGTTGTTACTGTATTTTTCAGGTTTAGAATTTCCATCTGGTTTTTCTTTATATCTTCTTTTTCTTTGCTGAAATTATCTATTTTTCTGTTTCAGGACTATTCATGGTTGCTTGCTGAAGCATTTCTTTTTCTTCCTTTCTTTCTTCTTCTTTTTTGGGGATAGCTACTTTAAAATCCTTTTCAGATAATCCCAACATCTGTGCCGTCTTGATGTTAGCATCAGTTTTTTGGGGGGAGGGTTGGTTTTTTTTAAATTAAGGTAAGCTCTATGCCCAATGTGAGGCTCGAATTCATGGCCCTGAGATCAAGAGTCACTCACTGTACTGACTGAGCCAGCCAGGCACCAGATGTTAGCCATCTGTTGATTGCCCTTTCTCATTCCAGTTCAGCCTTCTTCTGGCTTTTGGTATGACACATAATATTTGATTTTATCCTGGACTTTTTGGGTATTATATTAAGAGTCACTGGTTCCTTTTTAAAACTATATTAGTATGTATTCAACTTGTTCTAGTTCAGAATGAACATCATGGCTCACTTTTGTGGTCTGTGAGCTTGAATGTCAGTTTAGTTTTAAATCAGTACTATTTTGGTCTGTCCCGCTGTATGCTACCCAGAAGCCAATCTGAAACAGTACAGCATTCCACTTCATAGTTCTGTTCTCAAAGCTTTTACTGTGTTAATTCTGGTGGGTTTCACACATAGGTCACTTGTGGGTGGGTGTGACCTGGACTTCATACACAAATTGGAGCAATCTCTTTTTGCAGCTCTCTCTTCTCTGTAATCCTCCCCACGCACTCCAGCTGCCTCTTTGTTACCTTTGTTTAGTGCAGTGCAAGGGTAGCAACAGGCTTCCACCTTGCTGTCACACACTCCATGAGGATGGGAGAGGGATTCTCGCTGATCACATTTGTGCAGAGTGGGGCTGACTGACAGAGCTCCACATCACAGTCATCACTGGTAAGGAGAGAGAGGACTACCTAGATGGTAGTGCATAGTAGGGATGGTGGACTGGCTCCACACCACCTAGCAGGGATGGTGGACAGGCTCCACACCACCGTCTCCCCAAAGCCTGCTGGAGAGGGACGGCTGTGGCTTATTTCATGGTGTTTGCCCGGAGAAGAGCAACCATTGTCAAAAGGTCTATCTTTCATTGCTGTCCCTCCCTGCCCTTTGACCCCAGAAGGTGGGCTTTCATTGGGACTTTGTGCTTTGGGGATGGTTTTGGGTTTGGCCTTCTCTGGTGCCCAGGCTGGGATCTAGTAAGCAGTAAAGCCTGTGAGGACTCCCAGCTATATCATCCCTTGAGACCCAAGTGATCTAGCCAGTTCACCTTTTTTCCACCATCAGAGGAGTCTGGCTGTTGCTTCATATATTTTTGTCAAGTTTTTGGTTGTAGTAAGTGGAAGGAATAGGGTGGGATCCACTTACTCATCTTGTCTGGAAATGGAAGCCCCATGTATTTTTTTAAAGTCAACTTTTTGAGGTAGAATTTACATGCAATAAAACACATCCATTTAAAGTGTACATTTCCATGAGTTTCAACAAAGGTATATACCCATGTAACCACAGTCAAAATATAGAACATTCCCATCTCCCCAGAAGGTTCCCTTGTGTCCCTTCCCAAGCAATTCCCCCCACCATCCCAGGCCTCAGACAAGCACTGATCTATGTCACTATGTATTAGACTTGTCTTTTCTATAGAGTTTCAGATAAAATCACACAGAATGTATTTTTTTTTAAAAAGATTTTATTTATTTGACAGAGAGAGATACAGCGAGAGAGGGAACACAAGCAGGGGGAGTGGAGAGGGAGAAGCAGGCCTCCTGCCGAGCGGGGAGCCCGATGCGGGGCTCGATCCCAGGACCCCGGGACCATGACCTGAGATGAAGGCAGACGCTTAACGACTGAGCCACCCAGGCACTCCAGAACGTCGTCTGTTTGTTTGTTTGTTTTTTTAAATAAAATTCTGCCTTCTTTTGTTCAGTGTACCTGTGAGATTCATCTGTATCACCAGGTGTCTCAGCAGTTCATTCCTTTCCATCACTAAGTAGGATTCCATTATATTTTTGTGTAGGCTTTTGTTTGGATTGTCACCATCCTCTGCTCTTACCTGGCAAATCCCAAGAGCGAACGGACCACAGTAGCTCCTGCCACTACCACTGCTGTGCTTTTGCTCTCAGAGCTCCTCCTCTTTGATCCAAGGGGGGAAAAGCTTGATGCATCACTTAGTACTTACTTCAAGGCATGGGTAGGATACAGTTTCAGAATAAAAAGATGGTTTCTTCTGGATTTACCTGCATTGATCTGCTCTGTCATATACTTACTAATCCCATGTTCAGACCAAAGTATATGAAAACAGTCATTCTCTTGGCAGGGAGTTTTAGGGGCTTTTAACTTTGGTCTTATATTGCTGTGCCCCCTGAATTGGTAATAGGGGTGTGGACATGCTTTTCATTTTATGCAAACATAACTATCAGATCGCAGTGTAGCCTAACTAACACCATCCCTCCATGTTGAATTCCTGGTGGCTTGTGATGAATTGGGTACCTCACCAAACACTCTTATCCACATCCTCAGGTTCTCTGTTTTCTGTTCAACCCATGCACTCATATCCCCAGTGGAAGAAATCTGGTACTCTAGGCAGCTGATTCACTTTGTGATGGCAAGTGACACACTAGCTAAGGGGTGACCTGAACTTGTAGATTCTCTCCTGGCTAGTTACATTTACAAAGTGGATACATGATTTCTCTGACTGCTGCCTTCACAAAATTCTGCATTCATACTCACAAATAAGGTGCCAAGTGGCTTTTATACAGAAAAACAAAGCCAGTTTTGTTTTCTACCAGTGCAAGTTTGGATATATTCTTTTAAAAAAGATGACTGAATATTTCCCATTTAGCAAAGTCTTAAGGTAAATAGATGGTTGCCAGGTTTCTAGTTATATTGGTTTCTGTACTATCTGTTCAGACACAAGCTCCTTTTAAAATGTGCCTAGTCAGAATTTCTTCATATACTGCAACCAAAACAACATATTGCAACAGATGGAATACAGAAGTAGATGTGAGAATTCAGCTGTCTTCTATTAAGCCAGGCATTAAAGTGTTTTGCAAAAAACGTAAAATAATGACACTCTTTTCTTTTCTATTTTTTTAAAGAGTGGCGAGAGAGAGAGCATCGGGGGAGGGACAGAGGGAGAGAGACAATCTTAAGTAGGCTCCATGCTCAGCGCTGAGCCCGATACAGGGCTCCATCTCATGACCCTGAGATCATGACCTGAGCCGAAATCAAGAGTCGGACACTTAACTGACTGAGCCACCCAGGCACCCTAATGCTACTCTTTTAATATGTTTTGTGAGAAAATATATTTGTGGAAAATTTAGCTATCAAAAAAATAATACAAGAAAAACTTTCAGACTAAAGAACACATTTCCCGATTACAGTGACCTTCTAAATGCCCAGTATAGTAAATGCAAAACTGGAGGAGATGAAGAAAAGAAAAAAAAGAAGACCCACACAAGGCCGTATTATGAAATTTCATCATACCATAGATAAGCAGAGGATCCTGGAAGATTTCAGAGGAATAAAAGCAATCACATATAAAGAAACAAATCAAAATGGCATCACCCACCTCAACAACACCAAAAAACTAGAAGATAGTGCAGCAATGCCTTCATTCTTAGCGAAAATAATTAGCAATCTACAATAATATTCTCAACTAAACTATCACTCAATTGTGAGGGTAGAAGAAAGACATTTTTGGATATCACGTGGTAGAGTATTATAGTAATGGTCCCCAGTGAATCACAACTCCCTTTTACCATACCCCTTTGGGATGTGACTTTGCCATTCCTCCCAGTGAGAGGAGTTTATTTCTTCATCCCCTTGAGTCTGCGCTGGCTGAGTGACTTGTTTTAACCAACAGAACATGGCAGAAGTGATACTGTGTGAGTTCCACAGCCAAGGCTTTAAAGAAGCCTTGAAGTATCTCCTCTCATCTTCTGGATCAGAGCCCACTATGGAACTGACACCAAGTTGTGAAGGCGGGGCACATCCAATGGAGAATGAGGCCACGCAAGAAGATAGCTAAAAGTGAGGCATCAAGACAGAGCAATCTAATGTGAAATTCTTAGAGCAGCTTAATGGTGTCTCCTATTAGATTGTCATTTTCTTTAGAATTGTTTCTATATTATTTATTTTATGTATCTATTTTGTATTTTTATTATAATTGTTTATATATTATATATTTAGGGTATGAGATTTTAAAATTTTGCAAATATTTTCATTATGGCTTATCTTTTGGTTATGCTGTCTTTCTGCATACAGTTTTGTTTTTTTATGGTCACATCTATTAATCATTTCTTTTGTCTTTATGTCTTTGAGGTTTTTTTTTTTAACTCTATTTGACAGAAAGAGAGCACAAGCAGGGGGAGCAGCAGGTAGAGGGAGAGGGAGAAGCAGGCTCTCTGCAGAGCGGGGAGCCCGATGCGGGGCTTGATCCCAGGACCCTGAGATCATGACCTGAGCCAAAGGCAGATGCTTAACCGACTGAGCCACCCAGGTGCCCCATCTTTGAGATTTTTAAAAAAGATTTGCTTATTTGACAGGGATGGGGTGGGGAGAGGCAGAGGGAGAGGGAGAGAATCCTCACGCAGACTCCCCGCTGAGCATGGAGCCTGATACAGGACTCGATCCCCGGACCCTGAGACCATACCTAAGCTGAAATCAAGAGTCTGCCGCTTAACGTATAGAGCCACACAGGTGCCCCCTTCTTTTCTTTTCTTTCTTTTTAAGATTTTAAAGATGAAGATTTTTCTTTCTTTTAAAGATTCTTAAATCTTTTTAAGATTTATTTAGTTTAGAGAGACAGAGAGTAAGAGAGAGTGGGAGGAGGGGCAGAGGGAGAAACTCTTTGAGCAGACTCTCCCCACGGAGCACAGAGCCTGACACAGGGTTTGATCCCCACAACCCATGAGACCATGACCTGAGCCCAAACTAAGAGTCAGATGCTTAACCAACAGAGCCACCCAGGCGCCCCTTTATTTTGTTTCTTAATCCTCACCACCACCACCACCAAACCGGTATAAGCAATTGGTGCAAAATGATGGTCACTGTCAAAGAGAGAACTAAGAGTTTCAGACAGTTGTTTCTAAGGAGTGGTCTGGAGTTAAGAGAGCCAGGCAAGGAGCTGCCGCTTTTCTACTGACTTTTCCCTCACAGTCCAGGATAAAAGTTACATTGATAAAGTGTACCCTGAATCTACTTACTATCCTCACTTCTTCTACCAGTCTGGTCAAGGCCTCTATCATCTCTGGCCTAAATGACCCCAACAGCTAGCTCACTGGTGTCCTGCTTCCACCCTTGCCCCCATTTCAGTTATCCATTGCTAGGAAATAAGCCACCTAAAGACCAATTTATTAAATCTCATAATTCTTTGGTTTTCCTGAGCTGAGGGAGGTCGTTCCTCTATTCATGTGATGTTGCTGGGGCTGTGGGCATTTGTGGGCAGAATGTCCAAGTGGCTCACTCATCTTTGCTGGGTCCTCAGCTGGGACTCTGGGCTGTGGGTTTCAATTCTCTTCCATGTGGCCTCTCTGTGTAGCTTGGACCCAAGAGCTAGTGTTCCAAGAGGCAGGGAATTCTCTTAAGGCCTGAGCTTGGAAGTCCCAGAACATTCCTTCTACTGTCTTCTACAGGTCAAAGCAGCCACAAGGCCAGCCCAGACTCAAGGGGAGTGGAGGAATCACTGGGGGCCACCTTTGGAGACTAACTACCATGATCCCCTTCAGTCTATTTTCCACTTTCCAGAGACATCTTTTTTTTTTTTTTTAAAGATTTATTTGAGAGAGGGAGAATGAGAGAGAGTGTGCGTGTGCGTGTGAAAGGGGAGGGACAGAGAGAGAGAATCTCAAGCAGACTCCTCTCAGAGCACGGAGCCCGACACAGGGCTTGATCCCATGACCCATGAGATCAGGACCTGAGCCAAAACCAAGAGTCAGAAACCCAACCAACTGAGCCATCCAGGAGCCCCTCCAGAGACATCTTTTTTTTTTTTTTT